AGAGAATGGATGTTGATGGCTTTGTGAGTGAAGTTCTCAATAATGTAAAAGAATTGAGAATAAGTTATAGGGATTTCGGTATTATTTGAAAAAATGCTTTCGGCGAGTTTGAGTCCTTCATTGAGTTTTGTGTAAATGTTTTCGAGTAAGCTGCTTATTTTTATATTTTTGGCTGAGTMGAGTGTTTTACCATTTGTTTTGTTTGAATCTAATATTTTTTCTCTTAAGGTTTTGGGCTGTTCGGGATTCTCATTAACCTGTTGATCGATATGGTGAGTGGTGACTGCTGGCGATGACAAGCTACTTGGCAATGGAAGAAGTCTTTTGATTGGTTCGTTTGGTATGACTATGGAGTTATTAGATTGTATTGGTTTTGTAAGGATTGAACCGTCGCCGATGTTTGGGGAATCGTTTGCATTTATTACCGTTGAAATTGTCTCTTGTRCACCATTAAGGTCATTGGATATTATATGTATTATATTATGTTGTTTGTCTACTATTATTGTTATCGTAAGTATTTTTCAGATTTTTTTTGCAGGAATTAAAAGTATGCCCAGTTTGTTTACATATATAACAAGTAAGTGTACCATCGGTTAAAAAGATTCTGAAATCGGTATTATCGAATCTAATTACAATAATTGAACATTTGCGATATCATCGGGGTAGATGTATACCTGGTGACGAAAGCTGCTTATATGTGCCAGTTCGTCATGAAAACCGGTTTTCAGAAAGTCGATTTGCAATAATGTTCGTATGCCGGCTAATATTAAATATTCATTGATTACATRGTGCGGAATTAACGGATGGGCATTTGAAATAATAAACCTTTTTGCTAGATCAACCAAACGACGAACAGGTATTTGGTGTTTATTTATAGTTATACAAGAACATTTTTGAATTAGTTCATCAACAGTACATTTGTCCGTAAAATAAACACAGAAACGATTATTGGAAATTTGGAAATACGAGATGCAAACGATATTTTTTTGTTGGTGAAATTTTGATGAAGGATTTAATGTATTCCATTTGAGATATATCATTGATAGTGTTTAAAACAATTGCTTGTTTTTTTTGTTGGAAATTTAATGTTGGTTGTAGTTTGGGCGAAGGTTTTTAATTGAGATGTACCTAGATTGTATATTTTGTTCTTGGAAATTCACGATTGATAAAATTCTYGTAGCAATTTTATCGACTAATTGCACTGAGATGCGCGGGCGATATTACGGGTCGGTCAAAATAAGGAGTTATATACCTGTCAAATGGTTAATGTTATGATGATATATTGATATAAATTATAATATATACTGCTATCGGAAGCTAATAACGTAACACACATGTGTCTTGGATGGAGGTCGAACACGTACTGTCATAAGAATTTATTAAAAATAGTAAATACAAATTTAATCATCGGATCATTAATAATAACAGGTTTTTTTCTTGAATATGTATTCCCTATAAATGATTGTATTGGTATTTCAAAGCATCGATGTCCAGTGGCGGCGTGAACTTTTTTTTCCTATGAAGCAAMGACCTTAAATAAGTACCCACCCACCAATTTTTTAACACTTTATACTTTACTTTTCACTCATTTTAAATACTGGTCATATCACTTATATGTGACTATATGAGTACAAATTATAAACTAG